AAGGTTCCCGACTAATGGAAACATCTGTCATTTGTGTTTGTTTTTTCTACAATTTCGATTCAGTTCGTGTTTTACAAAAAACAATGGCAATCAAACGCAATTCGTGTCCTTTATGCAGCTACAGGAGTAGCTACAGAGTGTGTCCAAATGTCCAAATGTCCATTTGCTTATGGTTATTTGTTTTCGAAGGTCCTTAAGATGATAGCAATCATTTCGGTATTGACATACCATTCAATATTGAAACATATTGTTTTGGAGTAATTTTGTGTTACGCTTTGCTTCTTTATTGCCAATAAATCAGAATTTATTTGCAAGAGAAAGAAATTAAAATGTTCAATAAATTTTTTTAAGTATCCTGCAGCCTGCCATTTTCGAGAGGATGAACAAAAGCGGTAATTTTGGCGACATGCCTGTTGAATTTTGAACGTTTATCGTAGCGGCAGGGTTCGATTCGTTGAAGCGGTCATATGAGCTCACATAAGATTGGAACGTTGCTACGTGATGAGCATTTTTGTTGGCTTTTCTCAAAAAGTAAATTATAAGGCTAAACACACACTTCAAAAAAGGCAGTTATAATAAAATAAAAATGAAAATGAAGAAGAAAATCTATTAAAAAATTATAAGTTAATCCCTTGCGAAATATTTGAGAGTTTGTTTACAAGACAAATTGTTGCCACGTGAGTCAATTGAGGCTTGTTATATTGAATTTCAATGAATTTATTGCCAAACGGCAATAAAACGGTTTACTCAATTGCAAAGCAAATTAAAAATGTGTTGAATATTACCTTATGCTCATTTCATATACCCTTTACACTACTCTGAATAGAGGGTGTCCTAACTTCATCGAAATGATGGCAGATCCCTTATAAATTTTTAATAAATTTCGATTTTGATCTGTCGGTCTATTTGCTGCCGTGCTGGTGTAGTTAAAATGATCTCTCAATTGTAGAAGTTTTCGTAAATTTAGATAGATTTAGTTGATAAATGGATCTGTAGCGTTAGCATGCATTATTCATTGCAATCATGAGTTTATGTTAATTTAAATGCATTGATATTAGAAAAATTAGAAAATTTAGAGAGAATAAAGAAGAAGAGATACGTTTCAAGTCTTCGCTTCTATAAATTGTCGGAACAGAATAAAGTAAATTCTGCATAGTATATATAGCATTTTGTTTAGATGAATAAAAATACAAGCCACAGAAAGCCGCTATAGGTCATTATGGTTGACTATTACTGGTAGTGACTTTACAAAATAACTTTTGAAAATGAGCTATTAGAACATATACTTTATTTGTTGAGAATAATAACATAAAATAAAGCTTAAGATCATATCCGATATAGCTGACAAGTCTGTTTGATTTTGTAAATGAAGTTGAACAATTAATAAAAAATAAAACACTGTTTATTAAAACTAAGTTTTTTTTTTAATTTTAAACCTAAAATTATTTAAAATTATATTTCGTCGTAAGAACATGTTTTAAGAGTTTTTACAAAACTTGCATTTGCATATTTCCATATTTGTTGTTTGGAAGATAATTTAAATTCCGGTTATTGTTATATTCAAATTTGTTTATTTGAAAAATAAAATTTAATCTTCAGTCAAGTTTTTTTACATTTATAATTAAATTACAATAAATAATTATATATTATTATTAATATAAGGGTCAAAGTTCATTTTTTAAATTGTAAACTGAATCTGTTTTAGAAACTGTTTCATCAGCAAAACACGCTCAACGTATTCCTATACGGACTTTCAGTTCAATTTAAATATTTTTAAAAATTCATTTTATGTTTCAAGTATTGCCATATGCCCATTATCAGTGATCTTGGAAATAATTTTTGTATTTAATTATTCGTATATAATTTTTTTGAGACTGTAAGTACCAGGAATCGAACTCGTGCCCTGCTAAATTTGAAGCTCAAGGTCAGCACTCCTTAACCTACTGACATAAAGCCTGGCTGAAATATTTTGTAAATATAATATAATTTGTCGGCTACAAACCGGTATGTAATATTACCTTATCTTTTGTGGTTTAATCTAAAGTGGCAATCGATTTAAATAGTTATTCTATTAATT